GGTTTAATAAAGTTTATATATTTTCTGAAGTTAGCAGAAATTTAATTTGTTTATTCTAAAAGTGTGTTTTTTTTGTGTTGTGGTCTTCAGTCACAAACAGCTCATATGAACAAACATCTCAAACAGTTCTGTGTTTTTAGTGAATAAAATAGTGAATAGTTATTATGTCATGGGAATAGTACAGGAACTTCAGGAAAACTGCTTGGATTCAGGTGTTCAGTCAAGGAGATTCACTTCTAAGGAGCTGTGGTCCCCGCCTGTTAAATTATTTATTTTTTTTTTATTTATTTATTTATTTATTCATTTCATAACAAAATAAAATACATATCAATTAACATATATGTAATTAGAAAACAATTATAAATATAAAATGAAAGGTAGCAGATGAAGAAAAAATCTTATTGAATCTGCTCCTTATTTATCTAATAAACCATTCAAACAAACATATTCAGAAAATTATCAGAAACAAGTAAATAACTCAAGTAATATTTCAAATATCCAACATTTTTCATGAAATACATTCATATATATTTTTTTAGCAATTGAATTTTTACCATTTTCTTAAATACCGAGATTGATTTAGCTTCCTTAACATCTAACTCCAAGTCGTTCCACAGTCCAACACCCTGAATTAGGGTAGATCTTCCCTTCAAACTGGTTCTGAATTGCGGTTTAACAAAAACATCTTTCCCCTTAAGATTATAATTACTAGCTCTTTTTACACAATGCATTTGGATATTAGAAGGCAATGTATTATTATGAGCTCTATACATGAATGACAAAATGGTATAATCCACCAAATCAGGGAACTTCAACAACTTCATTTGACAAAATAATATACTCGATGGATGATAATAATGTTTACCCTTGATAATTCTTACAACTCTTTTCTGCAAAATAAAAATAGACTTTGTAATTGATTTACATGCTTTTCCCCAAACATTAACACAATAAATCAAATGTGGCACAACAATTGTATTATACATCAAATACAATGCTTTGTCATTCAGTAGATACTTAACTCTATAAAATATTGCAATAGATTTTAATATTTTCATTTTAACAGAATTTATATGTTGCTTCCATGATAATTTATCATCAATGATGACACCCAAAAACTTCGCCTCATATACTCTACAGATTTCAGAATCTTCAATCTTGAATGAAACATCAATATTTTTATTTTTATTGCTAAATATCATATAGTTAGTCTTATCCAAATTTAACGATACTTTGTTTAGTCTAAACCAACTTTGAATTTTACAAAGCTCAATCATCATTAATTCCAATAACTGTTCAATATTCTTACCAGAACAAAAAAAAGTTGTGTCATCCGCAAAAAGAACGCATTTAAGGAGGCTGGACACCTTAACCAAATCATTCACATACAAGATGAACAACTTTGGACCAATTACAGATCCTTGAGGAACTCCACATGTAATGGTGCAGTAATCCGATCTCACATCGTTTATCTGCACAAATTGGTTCCTGTTTTTTAAGTAACTGCACACCCACTGCAGAGCCAATCCTCTGATACCGTATTTGTATAATTTTTCAAAAAGAATGTTATGATCGACAGTATCAAATGCCTTTTTTAAGTCCACAAACACACTCACACAATACTGTTTTCGGTCCACAGCCGTTGTTACTTGTTCCATAAAGTCTACTAGCGCCATGGATGTGGAATTTTTTTCTCTAAAACCATATTGGCTATTAGTTAGAATATTTTGCCTTTCAATAAATTGGTCTAATCTGTTACTAAATAATTTCTCCAAGATCTTAGAAAACTGTGGTAACAAGGATATCGGTCGATAGTTATTAAACACACATTTGTCACCACCTTTAAAAAGAGGAACCACTTTAGCCACCTTCATTCTATCAGGAAATACTCCCTTAGTAAAAGATAAATTACATACATATGTAAATGGTTCGATTACATGACCCAATATGTGTTTTACAAACATCATGTCCATATCCATCCAATCCTTTGATCTTTTGTCTACAAATTTATTGACTACAGTCATTATTTCATATTTGTCAGTTCCAGTCAGGAACATACTTGCAAGATAATCATCAATTAAATAGTTCACATTGTTATCCACTTTAGGTATCGTTGCAGCAAGGCTGGATCCAACGTTCACAAAGTATTGATTAAATCCATTAGCAATTACATTTTCATCACATACATTCTTGTTGTCTATTGTAAAGTTTTGTGAAATGCTTGTTTTTCTTATATTTTTTTGTAAAACATTATTCACTACCCGCCATGTTGCCTTGATGTCTCCTTTACTTTTATTCAATAAATCACTATAATATTCTTTCTTATGTTTTCTTATAATCCCGACTAATTTATTTTTATACTTCTTATATTTATCTTCTGCTTCTTTTGTTCTACATTTTAGGAAACATGCATACAAATAGTTTTTCTTTTTACAAGCATTTCTCAAACCCTTCGTCATCCATTGCTGGTCAACAACTTTCTTCTTAGTGTGGTTTTTTGTTACACAATTTTTTTTATATAAAGCTTCAAAGATATTCATAAACGCATCATATGATTCATTTACATCATCAACATAAACACTATCCCAGTTTTGTTCCGCTAAGTCATCTTTCAGTTTATCCAATGCTTTCTTAGATGTATTTATTATTTTAGTTATACTTGGAATTATTTTTTTGGTTGTTTGATACTTCTTGTAAATTGTAAACACTGGTAAATGATCACTAAGATCACTCATTAAAATACCACCAGTCACATTCCCATTTGTTGTATTTGTAAAAATATTGTCAATTATAGTTGCACTGTGAGACGTGATTCTTGTTGGCTTTGTAATTAATGGGTAAAGATTTAACGAATGCATTGATTCTATAAATGTACCGACGTTGTTAGAATCTTTTTTTATTCCTAAATCAATATTAAAGTCACCACACAGAAAAATTGTTTTGTTACATCTTTTATCAAACAGTTCAATAATTTTATCTGTGAATGCTTCAATATTCGATCCAGGTGGTCTGTATACACAACTTATTATAATATTTCTGTCATTATTATTAATTATTTCAATAGTTATCATTTCAATTAAATTCTCATCAATCATTGACATTTCTCTGATTAAATTACATTTTATAGCACTATTTACAAAAAGTGCCACGCCACCACCTCTTTTGTTATATCTATTCATAGTATATAATTCATACCCATCGATTTGGGCATTAATTATATTTTCATCCTTTAACCACGTCTCAGACAATGCGATTATTGTAAATGTTCGATCAAGTTGTTTTAAATAATCAGTAATCTTGGAAATATTTGCATTTATACTCCTACAATTGAAATGAATTATAGATAAGCCAGATTTTTTTAGGCTAAGATCATTAAATTGTTGTTCACTATAATATTCACAATCCTCTATTATTGGAAAAAAACCAGGATCAATCAAGTCATCAACATTGTATATTTTCGATTCAGTTTCAGTATGATCTGTCATAGTCAAAAACATCCGTTCATTGAACAAATGTTTTATCAATTATGTATTAAATATAATTTGATGATTTGATGGTTTCCATTCTTCTGGATTATTTAAATTTTTCCAAGTCCTTCATTTCCTTTATTATTTTGGGTTGTGATTGTTCTTTTACTTTTATCCAAACATATCCATTTCTCGTCCATGTAGATGTTATATTTTTTTGTTTTTTTAACAACCTTGACTCCCGTGCAATGTTGGCATTCTTTTTTGTTAGATGTTCATTTATATACACCTTTGTGCCCTTTAGTTTTTTTGCCTGCATCAACACATTATTTCTAAGTTTCCTGCTAATAAATCTAACCACTATTGCTGGTTTAATTTTATCCTGTCCTGGCAAGGTGTAGCAGGTAGACACATCCTCCTGTTCAATATTAAAGTCTTTGTCCTGCAGAAATGATATAACTTGGTCTTCCAGTGTCTGAAGATCTTGCTGTGATGCGTCCTCCGTTGTTACCGAACCCATCACAGCTTTTGCAAAAGACTTTGGTTTTACTGTAAAACCAGTTATAATCAGATTCTCCAATCTAGCATTTCTTTCCATATCGTCAACTTTTTTTTCAAGTTCAATTATTTTTTGGTCTTTTTCATTTATTTGAATTTTTAGTTGTTTTACTTCTTCAAACAAACCAAGTAATAGTTCTTGTTTTGAAGTCAGTTTAGTCAGTTCCATACTCATAAAGTCCAAAGACTTTTTTATGTCCTCCATTTCCTCAACACCTTGTTCATCCAAATGTTCTTTCTTTCCACGTCTGGATTTATTAGACATTATTAAGTTTACTCACGACCTGTAGATTTTTACACAGCCGAGAAAAGCCGGCGCCCGATCCCTGGTCATAACAGCCCTCTGATGGTAGCCAGCAGCTACAGTGGAAGAGTCATGATAGCTGCTCCTGGGCCTTGTTGTAGCTGCTCCTGGGCCTGGTTGGCCAATTAGGCCATCTACAGTCCATAAACAAAGAAAGTCTGCTAATATGAAGACCAGGGAATTCATCAGTGAACCATAATATGTGTTGTTTACTTGAAAAAAAAAGGAAAAACCTCCTGTACAACTTTCTGAAATCTTTTATTGTCCATCGTAGGAGAAACATCAAACGCAGAAAGTTTTGGATTCAACAGAAGACTGTTGAGCAAAACATCCCAGAAAAATTGGTGTATTAAAGTAATTTAGTCGGTTCAAATCCCTTCAAATTTTGGTACAAATTTCATAAGTAACTAGAGGAAGTGACTTACTGGGGTTGTTTTAATTTTTATTAAAACTGTATTTGAGTGAGTACCGGTAAATGAAAACGATCTTGTATTTTTCCCATCTGTATTTTATTTTGCTGACTCAAAGTTCATCTTAGTTTAGCCTTTTTGTTTTATGATTTTGACTTTGGTGAAGATTTCCACATAAATTCAATCTGAAAGTAATTTTAAATTTTCAAAGCCGTCTTACTGACTTGAAGCTTTGTTCGTTTTGTCCCCAGTTCTGCTCTTCAGCCATGGTAATACATGTTCCCCTGCTGTGCTGAGCTGCCTTGAGGACGGTCGGAGGCGTCATGGCAGACTTGCCTATTGCCCCGGGCGAGATCTACATAGAAGTGGAGTACGACTATGAGTACAAGTCCAAGGATCGCCTCATTAGCATCCGGGAGGGGGAATGCTACATGCTAGTCAAAAAAACGAACGAGGACTGGTGGCAAGTGAGGAAAGATGAAGCAACTAAACCTTTTTATGTACCTGCTCAGTATGTCAGAGAAGTCCGTAAAGCCCTCATGCCACCTCCTAAACCTATCGCGCATTCTGGAAACGCACATCCTAAAAGTGGTGCTAAAAATCCAACCAGTTCGGAGCTGGGACCTGCTGAAAATCTTAACAGACAAAAATCCAAATCCCGGCGTTCTCCTGCACACACTGCCACATCAGGCAACTTCAGTCCGCCGATATCCCGCAGGAACAGTAACCATCACGTTCCCACCACCCCGACAGAACGTGAACGACCTCAGCATGAAATCCTTGTCCCAGTCGGTGGCCCCCTGGCTCCTCACAAAGAGGGGTTCAGCACACTTCCTCGAAGTCGAGCCCGATCCCCTGATATTGGGAGAGCTCCTCTGGACGTGGACAGCACCCAGCTCTGTGACTCTGCAGGGGAAGAGAGACGCACCAACGACTCAGAGTCTGGAGACGAACTGAGCAGCTCCTCCGCTGAACTTCTTCAGGTACATTTCTGCACGTTTTTATTTAATTCAGTCGTCAGTAACATGATGTCAACATGTCTATTCATTAATTTCCACTTTTTACCATCAAATAACAGTCAGGGAATTGGGTGAGTTTTGTAGGGAGCAGCTCAGCATAACACCCGTATGAGAGGCAGGATACATGCTTTCCCAGCAAAACATTATGTTTTAACAAAACAAGCAGTAAAACTTACCTTTTGTGGCCTTTTGTGTAGAAAATTAGAGCCAAATGTGGTCTTAAGAACCAGCTACTTGTCTTGAGCCTGTGTCAGAACTGCTTACACTATTTTTACTAAAGTCCGACTGAAATGGAAATTTTGACTGTCGCCAATACCGATATTGGGCAGTTACACTCAAAAATAGCAAAAATACAAAGTATAAAAAGAAACGGTATATACGGATCTAAGATATATGCTAAACAAACGCTAAAAGATCTAAGATATATGTTAAACACTAAACAATAGCCTATGCTAGGTTATCTAAACATTAGCGTTGTAACTTCAGAGGCATGTAGCTAATGACAAGCAGGTTGGAGGACTTGAAGAGAATTTCTTATTGTTCTTTTATTTTACAGATCAGTTGCAATAAACTTACCATGCTCTGTTTTAGCAAAGTACGCTACACAGTGTTGCTCCCTGCTTCATCTGTGATGAAAGTGAAAGTTAAAGTGAACGGCACTGACTTCAAAGTAGTCCACATGCGCCCTCTGCTGGACGTATTGTACAAATATGGCATTTAGAAGTAAGGACATGGCTGGTTTTAGCATTTTATGGTTAACACATAGAAGTGTTTATATCTGTGCATAATGGGCCAGTTATCACAGCTTCTGTTGTCCTTTACATCCAAGTTCAGATTGTAAGATCCTCCTGACTTACTAAAATTAAACTTTAGCTATTATTAGGTAATAAAACATGCTTTGAATTTTACTTCCCTTGTAAAATGTACAGTTTTATCTGAAAAGAACACAGTTTAATTTACTAAAAAAGCCTCCTTTGTTTTTGTTTTTGACTTTTTGGGTTTGCTATCATCAGCAGCAGCAGTATTGTACGCTGAGGTAGTCATTGACTGAGTCTGTTTTGAGTAAAAGGTTATCAGAAGGCAAACATGGACCATTTTAGTTCTCAAAGCAGTCCAGTCCACAATGGTGCTCCTTTCTTCCTCAACCATTCTTTGTTCTACCCAAATGGCAGAATGAAGGTCAAAACCGTCATTGTTGTAGATTTGAGTACAACCAGTCTGGATTTGTGTGTCAGCAGATATTCTTCTGACAAGTATTTTTGTGCAGCTATGGTAGAAATTATTTGTGCATTAGTTTCCTTTCTTCTTCAGATTGGCTTTTTAATCAGGGTTTGTAACTAAACAGCTAAAATTACATTTTGTACACAATGGAAATGGATTTTTAAATGGCTACAAAGAAAACTCAGTTTTTGTGACAGAAATCATATTATTTGCTTTGCTGCATTTTACACATTTTAATGACAACAGTTGTGTATAAATACGTGTGCTCAGTCTCAAAGCACTGGAGCTCTGCTGATGTGCTTCAGACTCTAAACCTAAAAGCAATCACAGAAAGACTTTACGCCGATTTTGACGCCAGTTTAATCGCATAATGGTTTCAAGTACTGGTATTTAGACTTTAGGAAAATGCTGATATTTCAAAGTGTTAAACCATAAAGACAATATATTATACAAGTTGGTGGAAAATAGGCATGTTTGAGACTAAAAAAAATGTTTATTTAAAACTGTTCACTGGTTTTCTTCACTTGTGTACATCTAGTCACTGATTACATTTGTATATTTGATGTCATTAGTGATATCATACATATTTAAAGATTTTAGATATCTGGATCATTTTATCTATCACAGGACAAATTAAGACACTTTTAAATAATATAAACCCAATTCTTTGAGCTCTTGAGGAGGTCACAGCCATTACTGGTGGTTTTCAAACTAACAAGAGCTTTAGGGGTCTCCTCAGAACTCCAGTCCCAAGAAAATCCCTAGTTTGCGGTTGACATTACCATTTACTGCAACCATTTGCTCAGGCAATATTTACTGAGGATTTTTACCATATTCTTCATCCATTGTGTCCCAATGAATTTTATTTTATTTATTTATTTATTTTAACCTGGAATGTCTTATTGCTTTTGTAATGAACTGAAACTTTGCATCTTGAATTTGTTATTGCTGCATTCATTTGTCTGTACCATTAGCAAAACATCTCGTGATTCACTTCCAGAAAGTCATCATTGGATTGACATCAACAAGTTTCACATACTGTGTTGAAATTTGGTGTGGTAATAGCTGAGACTTTCCTCCAACTTATACACTGAGCTAGAGTTGCATTCAGGCCTAAAAAATCCGACTCGCCCCAGCCCATAGCTATTTTTTCCGAACCCAACACGACCCAATCAAATTAACTGTAAAAAAAAGTTTTTTTTTTTTTTTTTAAATAAGCTTTTACTGCTTTTGTAACCAAATCAGTTTGACATATTTTAAAAACGTAACGAAAGGAAGATATAAAATTTCTTATTTCACCAGATTAACATACAAAACAAATAGCCTAAAAAAATTGACTCTAAAGAGGCTATTACACAGATGAACAAAAATATTTTAGAGCAAAATCATTTGGAAAAATATAAAACAAGGCTAATTTAATTGAACGTGCTGCTCGCTTCAGCTTTTGTAGATGCTGCTATTTCCTTCACTGCAGATGACGGCAGGTGCGGAGATGTGCGCGGCCGGTGATCAGCTGATCCATCTGAGCTTAACACAACTTTATTTATTTTTTTACTTTTTTTTTAAATTTACCTTTATTTATACAGGTAGTCTCATTGAGTCACAAGAACTCATTTTCAAGAGAGACCTGTTTTGTGGAGCAAATGGTGGGTGTTATGGTGCCTTGCTCAGGGGCCCAGAGTGGGGCAAATGAAGGTGGAGGCAGGTGTGGACGTTTCACCTTTTCCACCCACATTTTGATGTTGCTGGTACTGGGAGTTGAACCTGCAACTTTCCGATCACAGGCCCATCTTCTGCGCCCCTTTTAACAGGCCTGTCGGACCTGCCTCCTCCTCAACAAGTAGATTAACACAATTTTATATTGTGCATTATTATTTAGTTTTATTTGTGCTGTATGATTCGTAAAACTGCGTCAAAGCCCGAGACCGGCCCGGCCCGCACATTAAGCTCATTATTATGGCCCGGCCCTCGGGCTCAGGTTAGAAATGACAGCTGTACACTGAGGACAAACTGACCTCACGAGACGTTTGTTTTCTCTGTCATTAACTAATGACTTAAATAAATTGTTAAAATTGAATAGTTTTCATTTGATATCATTTCTATCTTAACATGATTCTCAACCTGCCATTGTGTATCTGTTCCTCTCAAACCCAGCCGTTCAAAGCAGACTTGTCCTCAGCCTGGTTCTGCTAAAGGTTTCTTCCTCGTGAGGGAGTTTTTCCTTTCCACTGTCGCCTTCATGTTTGCTCAAGTTGAGAGTTCTGTGATGGATATGAATTGAATTGAATTAATGAAGTCAACCGATTGTTAGCAAAATATCTACAACCACAGGGTGGATTTTAATGCATCTTTCATAAAGTAATCATTAGATGAACATCTAAAATGGTTTAAATTTTGGAGTCAGCCTAATTCAAGATGGCTGCCACAGCCAACTAACTTGGAGAACATAGAAGTAGCTATAACTGGGGCAGTTTTAGAGATATTGAGCTGTTGGTCATATGTTGGTGTAGTAGTAGCTGAGAGTCATTCAAAACATGCCAACCGCAGACATGTCATGTGATATATCACATGTTGCTATTTTAAAGGTTTGAGCAAAATAGTTCCTAAACATAAGATAATTTCAGTCTAAAACTCATGAAAAGTGGCGGATGACACGTGTTCCTTCAATGCCAGGACTTGGTTCATGTTTCTGTTTCTCCAACTTACTTTTTAGTGTCAAATAAACCTGAATGGTGAACACGGTGGTTGGTTTTTGTTTAGTCAGTTGGATCCACATGCCTGCAGAGTTCATGAGAGTCTGAAGGTTGGTGATTCCCACACAAGGCTGCTGACGCTAAAGCTGCTCAAGTTTCTGTTTGTTTTTACTTTGGCTTCTTGGTGGCGTGTTGCCGGTGACACGGGTTAAATTTGAGTCTTGATATTCTGAAATCTAAGTGTCTGTTCGCCTCCATTCCTGTCCTTATATTTTCTCCTGTAATGTGTGCCAAATAGCTTTTCTGGAGTGTTTATTTTGAAGAGGGGTAAGGGGATGAATATGTAACGAGGGAGGCCAAGAGTAGAGCGAGTGAACGTTAAACCAGAGCAATGGTGTAAATGTCAGGAAGTAGATTTGTTGATGTGTCCAGCTGTCAGCTCGTGTTCCTTATTGCCGTTCATTCAGCTCCGTCTGACAAGCTACTCCAGTGGGATGTGATGAGGATGCCAAGTTCTTATCTGCTACTCTGGACCAGACACAGATACCCGCTTTGTCTCTGCATTTGCTTATCTTTTCAACATCCACCACGGCTCCATAACCTTAAAATGCCAAACTGATTTATTAATGAAATTTACAATCATTTTTGGACCCATTTTGCATTTTAGAGGTGGAATTTATTTATCAAACAGACTGGCGAAATTGAGGTTCAAACTTCAGCCTTGTATTAAAATGACATGACTTGTACAATCAGAACCAATCAAATTATCTGACATATCCAACAAAGTTCAGTCAGGCCCTCTGGACAGTTCCTGTTTGCTGAAACGTTTTGTCTTTCATCCAAAAGATTTCGTCAGTCAAAGGAGCCACAACAAACTTGGTCTTATAAATAGCACCTTCACGTAGTGGGTCAACCAGCGTGATGGTGCTCAGATGGTTTCTGGAGTCCGCCCTCTCCCCGACGACTCGTTTGAGGCAGTCATGGCCAAAGCGATGGATTTCTACCTGGATTATTGAGCATGAATCAAGATATTTTGAACCACTTCGGACA